ATAGAAATGAGCACTGGGCAGGGGGAGAGGAAGGGGAAAGGAATCATCCAGAACACAAGGAACCTGAGCTGTCAATTAACCAGAGCACAGGGAACATGAGTTGTCAATCAGTCAATCAATTAATCAATCAATCATGAAGCCAGGACATAAAAACAGGAAAAACGAAGGCATGGCGCCATGTTTCCTCTCTTGGACTGGCCCACTCCCAGTTCTCAGGAGTGCACTTTTATTTTTTTTACTTCACTAATAAAAATCTTGCTTATATCATGCTTTCTGTCTCTCGTCAAAAATCTTTTTTTCAGGGGACTAAGAACTGAGGTAATTCTTATTTTGTTTCCCGGTAACAGAAGGAAATACCCACAGCCCTGATTTGTTCACTTATCCAATCTGTCCACAGATACTTAATGAGGACCCACTATGTGTGTGGAAGAGACTGGTTAGTTGTTAATCCAACATTTTTGCTGGACCTCATCGCTCAGTCTCTCTTATACATACAATCGTGGGACTGGGTTCAGGCCAGTTATATGTGGGTAGGGGGATGTTGATTGAGTGCTCTCTTGGCACGTAAAAATCTCCTGCTACGATGATCACTTTCTTTCCTTCTTTATTCATTTCTAGAACATGCTTAGAATCAACATGCTTAATGATAGCACAGCCTCCATCAGCCTGAGTTCCTGAATGACTGTGCGAAAAGAACCAACTATCCTTTCCCACCCATCCACCATTTGGGCTTTTGGGTGAATAAAACCTTTATTAGGGTAAGCCACTGAGAGGTAGGGTTCTATCTGTGATCGCTGCTAACATTATCTTAACTAATAAAGAGATCTGAGTGAGGGATTGTCATTTTTAACATCAAGGTCAGGGAGTTCTCACTGAGAAGAGCAGGCTTGTAAGAGCAGAGGGAGGGAGCCGTGAGTACGTGGAGAAAGAAGGGTCTAGGCAGAGGGGAGAGCGTGTGTAAAGTCCCTTAGGCAGAAGCATGCCTGGCCCGGTCCCGGGATAGCAATTAGCTCAGTGTGATGGCAGCAAAGAATGATGGATGAAGTAAGTCGATGGGGAAAGTATTGCCAGATTTTTAAATACTTTTCTAGGCACTGGATCTAGTCTTATACCTCATATACCCATTATCTTCTTTTTTTTAAGCCTAAGCTAAGTGGTATAACTGTCTTTGAGTAACTTATACCAAATAACTACCATATAAATAAAATTTCCTGGTTATAATCCTCTGTACCACACTTTTCACCTTCAAACTCCGTCTTAACTTTCCTATATCGGTAGAATAAAATTCCTATGCCCCATGTAGGTTCAGAGGAAGGAATCTGTGCAGCTCGCCAATCCCTATAAATCAGGCCACAGAGAAAACTAAACCATGACTTTTCTTCAAAAGGGGAGAAGGACTTCACATCACCCCATACTTCTTACAAACTCAGAGGATGTTAGTGATTGCTGCCAGCTCCCAGTGCAGTGGGAGGTCAACCTGAGATGCTTCAATATTTTATTCTGTTCTGGACTTTGTTCTAACAATTGTCTTTTCAGGTGAGATTCAGGTCAAATAGATAGCTGAATGGCTGTTCTTTCATTCCCTAAATACAACTAAGCCATGGGATTTACTAGCCTTGCCTATTAGTAAGTATGTTCCTTTTCTGTCATCTTAATATCAGAATAGACTGAGTTTAAATATCTTCTTGTACTGTAATTATAGAAAATGATCAGTGGTAGAAAAATGAATGAGAAAATGCTACAGAAAGAAAACTTATGAAAGGAGAATGTAAAATACCCCACACGTATATGAAAGATATTTAATTGGCACAGTAATACAATTGCATGGTTATACCATTATTTAAAAATAAAAATGTACCAAATTGGTAAAGTTGAAATAAACCATAGTAAATTTTTTGACAAAGATATAGGAAAATTAACTTTATCATACGTTAGTGGTATAACATAAAATGGGAAAAAAATTAGACGGCAACATGGCAAAATACTGGAATCCTTAAAAATACATGTATTTCCTAGCTGTGCCCTCTGAGAGGGCCTAAGATTAGTGATACCCTAATGGCAGTAAACACATCCAGCGCCCAGAGCCCAGGTACTGAATTCAGTTTCTCAGTTAAAGGAACCAAAGCTCCATGGAGAAATGATTGACTGTAGGGCTGGGCAAACTGGAATCCTTGTTGGAAAACACAAGAAGTACGGAGCATCTCACAGAGCCAGAAAGTTAAAAAGGAGAAACAACAGACACAGGAGAAATAGACAAATACTACATGGTATCACTTAAATGTGGAATCTGGGAAAAAAAAAAGTCAAACTCACGGAAACAGAGGATAGACCTGTAGTTGCCATGGGGATGGGAGAAAATGGAAACGGGGAGGTTGGTCAAAGGGCGCATACTTTCAGTGATAAGCTATGTAAGTCCTGAGGATCTAATGCAGAGTATGGTGACTATAGCCAATAATACCATATTATATAATTGAAATTTGCTAAGGGAATTGATCTTAAGCATTCTCCCTGGGGTGGGGGGAGGTAACTATGTGAGGCAACGGATGTGTCGATCAACTTGATGGTGGGAACCCTCTCACAATGTATATGTGTAGCATCTCATCACACTGTCACTTTAAATATGTTATCCTTTGGTGTGTCAATTACACCTTCATAAAGCTGAGGGGAAAAACAGTAAGAACCAACCTGAAAGAGCTGGCCAAAGCCAAAACAACATGAGGAGCACGTAACGAAAGACTGTACTGGATTATAACCCAAAGAATAAAATAAGCAACCATGCATCCTTACTAATAGAAACCAATTAATCAGTCAATCCGTGGGGAGAGGAAATCTTTCTTAGAGGACAACTCCAAACAATATTTGCAAGTACTACCCGCTCTAAGAAGGTGGAATTTAATGTCCCTCCCCTGGAGTGTTGATTTTGCCTTTGTGGCTTGCTTTCAATGGAAAGGAAACATAGGAATTTTGTGATGGAAAGATCCGACACAGGCGACTCTAACCAAGAGGTCAAGGTTAACATCACCAGGGCTAAGTCATGACAATATGACATACCCTCTGAGATACAACGAGAAAGGGACCTTACCCCTCTGGTATTCTTCCCCTGCCCCGATCCAATCATGACGAAACATGAGACAAACCCAAAATGAGGGACATTCAGCAAAAATACCTCCCACATACCCTTAAAAAATACTGAGGCCTTCTAAAACAAGGAAAACCTAAGAAGCTGTCATAGACCTGAGGAGACAAAAGAGACATGAAGACTAAATGTAATATAAGATCCTGGACTGGATCCTGAACGAGAAAGGGACATGAGTCGAAAACCTGGTATAATCGAAATAAAATCTATAGTTTAGTGAAAAAAAACTAAATTTTTGTTGAACAAGCAATATCCGTCCCAGGTACTTATCCTGGGGAAATAATTATCACACATATGAGTGGTTCTCAAACTTGAGCATACAACAGAATCACCTGGAGGGACTGTTACAACCAGATTACTGGGCTCCACTCCCAGAATCTTACTCGGTATGTCTGGTGCGTGGAGGGAAGGGGGAGAGTTTGCCTTTATAACTGGTTCCCAGATGTTGCCACTGCCCTGATCTGGAAACCGCACACCAAAACACTGACATATGCAGACATTCACTTCAAGGATGTTTATTGCTGTAATTAGCCCTTGGATTATATCATTTTTTTTCTTTTATTAGCCCTTTCTTATGTTTTCAAATCTTTAAAAATGTTTCTAAATGTTTCTGTAATACTTAGGTGTTGCTTTTATAATAAGGGAAGAACATCACTTTAAGTTAAAGAGGCAGCTCTTTTTCACACGATGTTCTTAAAACTAATAGATTTTTGTATTCTTGAGGGCAGATTGATGCATGAAAAATGCTATTGGTGGCTGATTTTTAAAATTAGTATTCAACTTATTAAAGTGAAAAATTGGAAAATGCAGTTTTACTGTCAGCTCTTAAGTTCAATCCCCAAAAATGTATTATTAATTACAGTTATAAATCTAGTAACATTCAACAATCATGTCCAAGGGAACTTTGATTAATATTTTTACATTGTTCTAAATATTCTGTCCCATTTACAGACTTGGCTACACTCTCTTAAAATGTTTTAAATTTCATTTATAAATGTAACATAATAGATTGTAATTTTTACATATTTTAAAATAAATGTTCAACAAGCAAAACTTTCCCAGATACTTTGACATTGCATATAAATCTATTAAATTATACGAGGATCTCAAGTTCTTTAAAACATTCTAATATAATTTACAAACTTAGCCAAAGACTCATCCTTTTCATCTTAAAACTCCAAATCTAAAATCAATGACTCAGCTACATGGTTTACATTTTAATCGTACGGCTAATCTTTCAGAATTTCAAAATGCCAAATTCTTTTAAATATGACAATCGCTTGAAATGCCAGAAAAATGAAGCTTATTCCTGAATTTAACATAAATGATTAGTTCCATGGGTCTAACTGCCTTCTTCAGATAGACAGTGTTATGGCTTGAATTACGTCACCCCCAAATTGATAATGTTGATGTCTTAACCCCCAGTGCCTGACTGTATTTTGGAGATAGGTCTTTACAGAGGTGACAAGTTAAAATGGCAGATGTGATACCATAAGAAGGCAGAGAGAAATGCACTTTGAAGACCACGCTGACTGTTCTACAAGTTGAAGAGAACCAATGAGGGCTGACAATGGAAAGGAAAGCAGAAAGACGAGACGAGAATAGCTCCTCATCAGAAGTAAATGTGTTAATAGGGAAACACCTTGAGAAGTTAATAGACTCATCCTTTCTCACCATTAGATACACATTTTGGGGGGATAGGTGACAGTGTCTAGTCTACTGTCAGCGTATTCCTAATCCCTGAGTAACCTGGCAAGACACTTAGTTTCTCTGGTCCTCATTTACCACATTTAGGAAATGAGCATAATAACTGTAGCAAACCACGTGCATCTCTGCCCACACCCGTTTCCCATTTGAAACTCACCATTCCCAGGACTTCAGAAGGCAAGCACTTTCAACTCTGCCTTGAGGACCTTCTGTGGCCATTCATTCAAGACAGAGGGTTAAGGCTCCCAGGAACAGCCTTCAACAAATAACGAATGGGAGTCAGTGGGCAGATACCCCAGCTGGCTCGCCCAAGCTCTGAGCTGTGCTCTGTGCAGAATCCCAGAAGCCCCCCAGATGGAGCCACCGTGACTCCCAGGGCCAATCCTCTCATCAACGTGCCCTTTATTGGCTTCCTTGCTTTCTTGGTTTCACTCCCCAACTTCCCTAAGGATCCTGCCTAGAATTTCCTCTCAAAGAAACAACATGCACTTAAATCCTTCATTCAAGGTCTGCATCTGGGAGGTCCCAACTTAAGATTGTCATGGACTACCTACAAGATTGTGTCAGCAGAGAGAAAACTAAACTCGGATATCTTTGAGGGGACAGGAGGCAGTCTCCTTCTGGAAAGAACAGGGAACTTGGAGTTAGAAAACTTGGATTGTAGTCCTGGTCCTACCATATATTAGATGAGTCAGCTTAGAACATGGACTTCTTTGCATTTCAATTTCCTACCTTATAAAATAGAGGTAACAAAAGATAATTAAATGGAATAATCCATGAAAAATGTGGAGTACCTAGTAGGTACTCAACAAATACTAAAAACACTAATTCTCCTTCTGTTTGTTCATATCTTCACATTATTAAGATGTAGTTGGAAGACAGTGTGATGTCATGGACAGATAAAAGGCTTCCTGTCAGTCTGGCTTAAATTTAACTCCAATCCTGGCTTCAGCATACGGTCTTAGGCCAGGTCTTCAATAAAAGAAACAGTAGCTTTTCTCCCTCTTCCAGAACTGTAAGATATAGAAGACCTCCATTTTAAAGAAATGAGGGGATTTTTACCCCACCAGATACTCCTCCGATATTTATGGGGCAATCAGGGTTATAGTATGGAAGTAAAATATTATATAACATTGCTCCCACCCTTCACACCAAACCTTCTCTCCAATTAAAAGCTCAGTTACTTTTAAATTGTGGGGAGTTTAGAGATAAAATATTGACACACACACAAACCCATTGTAATCTGTTAGTGTGAATTTGAATCTTAGCCTCCCCGGGCCAGTCTCCTGAAACAGGTTTGTCAAGTGGCTTGTATCTGAATGGTCAATGAACTTGACCTGATAATGTTGAACCACACAAGCACACACACACACAAGTCCTTACTTACTTAGATACATGGTCATGATTGTTTCTAGTCAGTTTTTTGTCAGTCACTTTAGCTTGGAAGAATCAAACAACTTGGCCCAATACACCAGAACGTAATTGTATCGGTCTCTTCTCCCCAGTGGAGATACCATTAGTATTAATCCTGAATTTTAACTCAGTCCACTTGCTGAGATTAGTGATGGGTTCACAATAAAGCAATCCTGTTCCTCCCCTACTTTTTGATAGTGAATGCTCAACCTTTTAAGCCCTCTCAAATGTCAGTCCTTTTGTGAAGCTTCTCTAACTCCCTCGGTGGGTGGTTACCATCCTCAAAGCTAGAGAACATTCTTACTGTCGGTATAGCCCTCCTTGTGAGTGAGGTTGTGATTTATCAGCCTCTTTTGAAACAGGAAGCCCTTCAAGGGCTGTACCCACGTCTTAAGCCGCTTTTGACTGTCTGGCGATGTTACAGTGTCAAGTACATATGACCACTTGGTAACAGCTGTTAATTGAATAAGGCTAACATTCTCCTATTCTCAGTTATAATTTCCCCAGTTTTCTAGCAAGGGAGACCCTTACTGGGACTGCTAATCTTACAAAACGTAAGGCCCCCCCTTTTTTTTTGCACTTATTGCTAAATTTTATTAAATAATCCTTAAATGCAGAAGTTGGGGAATAACTGCCTTTTTAAAAAAATGAGGTAAAATTTGGTAAATAACGTTGTGTAAATTTCAGGTGTGCAACATTATGATTTGACATCTGTGTTCATTACAAAGAGATCACCAGAGAGGAGGGGGGTCAGGAGGGTGGCGAAATGAGTGAAGGGGGTCAAGTGTATGGTGTTGGATGGTAACCAACTTTTGGAAATGTTTTTCTTAATAAAATTTTAAAAAAGAGCTCACATGATATTTACTGGTGAAACTAACTGACAGCACATCTCACGTCCAGTGTCTAAAATTAGCCAAGTATCAGTTTTGGGCAGCAGCTACCACTTTTTGGCTAGTGTTCAGCCATTCCAGAGGTCGACCAGATGCTTGTGCAGCAGCCTGTAGGTATATGCATGCTCTTGACACTTTCCAGAGCTATTAGACTAGGTGTCAGGCGAGAAGCTGTGAATTTTCCTGTTAACCTTCCCAAGGTCTGCCGCCTCAGTGTATGTGCCCTGCTTGTTGTGTTTCTATAAACTCATACCAGTCGGAATTTGAAGGCAAACCCTGGCTCACTACTTCATCAGAGGTGAAAACTGTAATGACAAACACGTACGAGCCCCTTGAGCAGCCTCTCTGCAGAGCAAATGCGTCGGCGCACGCAATTCTGGTACCTCTTGGTCCTGCTAGGATGCAAGCCATTTAGCAGTCACCAACGACTTAACCGTAGTGCAGTCAGCGTTCCCAGAGCAGAGCATTTCCATTCCTGTCAAGGAAGGGAGTACAAAGGATAAATTAGCCTCTACGAGGGAGGGAACAGAATAGCTCCTTGAACACTTTTCTTAAAACATTTACCTTGACTGCCTCTATCACCAGCAGCTGTGTTATTTGCCAACTTCGATACTGATGATTTGGACGTAAGTAGGAAGAACTCAGAACTGCTTTGCAAATACTTCCTTTAAAAGACACACTGCTGTTGTGAAATAAATACCTGGTTAATTGCACTTTGTTCATGTTTCTAGGCGGGATCATGAGCCATTGAATTGGATGTACCTAGAAAATACAGTTGACCCTTGAACAATGTGGGTGGGAACTTCGAAGGTCCATTTAAACTAGGGTTTTTTTTAGTAGTAAACACTACAGGAGTACATGATCCGCAGTTGACTGAATCGCGGATGCGGAACTGTGGATATGGAAGAACAGCATATACACCAAGGGTGCCCCTAGCCCCCCGTGTTGTCCAAGGGTCAACTGTATAGTGATTTAATACTATCCAAGACTGAGAAAATGACTGCAAAGTAATGTAGTTCCTTTTCTTAACAAACATTCAAGAAATTCTACATCAGTCTAAAATGCTGCTTCGAATGCTGCTGCCACTTTCAGAACTGAGATTTGGACAGCCTTAGTGGTGGAAGTGCCTGATCCCTCCATTGGCTTTCTAGAAACAGCCAGAAGACATCCAGGGCCAAGTCCAGTGGACGGCCCCACTGCCCAACAGAGGTTGGGGTAAAAAAAATAAAACAGTGATTTCTTTTCATGTGTGCTTCCTAATTTGGCTTTCTGAACATTTCTATATTTCCAAAAAATTTTAAACATAGCAACATGGTTGAGAAAAGAGTATAGCCTTTCAAGAGATACATATGTTAAGTCCATATTTGAATATGTAGGTTTGGGTATATTTTCTCATAATAAATAGCCCTTTGATCTTTCCTTTCTGTCCCATCCATCCACCACCAATGATTTTCTCCCAACTCTTCCTGCACCCATGGAAGGATGGTTCATGGCATAAATGTCCTGCTGTGAGTCCTCCATGGCTATCAGCCCTTTGGAGCTTAATAATTTTTTTCTTAACCAAAAATTCCAGCTCAGAATTTGGAAGAACTTGCATTAAAGGCTATTACGGGTATTTTTTTTAAATGTCTCATAAGATGTTGGAAATTCAGTAATAATTTCCTGGCTTCTGGCTCTTTTCAACCTTCCGTAGGGGTGGTGCATGTGGAAGACAGTGTGGGTTTTCTTGAGGGCTACCAGTGGGCTAAACTTCCCCTCCCCCACCTCAGCTTCATATCTTTTTCAAGGCTCATTTCTAGAGTCATCATAAAATATACCATTTTTTATATACCTGGCTTGCTACACTTACTAATTTGTCAAAGTCACTTCATTTAAGGATTGTACTCCTGGATGATTAAGGAGAAGATTATTCAGACTATGGCACAGGGGAGGCCACCTATTAATGAAGATTGTCTCAAAAAGGAGGGAGAACACGTGGGATTTATAGAGACAGGTAAGCAAGAGTCGTGAGGAAGGATGAACTGTGAAACTTATGGGACTAGAGAAGAGAGTAGAGGCTTTCCTTTTTTTGGTAAATGCAGGGGCAGGGTGGTCCTTTGTGCCTAGTCACTGCCTAAAACATCAAGGGCTGGAGGATTCAAGTTCAATATCGTCAGTTCTTCCTTGTGCTTAACAAGGATGTCATTCTTCGTCATTCCATCAGATTACTCAGAAGGTTCAAGAAAAGGAAAGAAATATTTTACAATCTCTGGGTACAGCAAAGGTAAACACAAGCTCTTTTTGATATAAATAAACCACCAAACCTTAGCTTGCTTTATTATCTTCATTTATTTAGTCAATAAAATTCCTTTTCTAGGAATTTTCGGCAGCCGTTCAGTTTATGTCCTGCAAGATTTCTCCTACCAGTCATTCTGTCTTAGGAAAAAACCACTCTCTTTTTCTTTAACAGAAACACACCCTACACACCTTAAACACAGAGTCGTACCTCCTGCCACTCTTGCTCCTGGTAGAGTCTCATTCACACACGCTATTTAACCACAGCGACATCTGTTTCACAGGGAAAACTAGGAGGCAGGTAACCATGAACTGCCAGTCACACACCAATACTCTTCAGCAGACAAGCTGAGCTCATGAATATACATCCACAGTCTCACACACACGTACGGCACAATTTCTCAGAGTAATAAAAATAAACGTATTCTTCGACAGACTCAAATATATGGCTTCTCTGTAACATATAAGAGGAGAGAAGTATATAAACTTAAAATTATGCTTATGTGTTAATGTTTCAGTATTCCATCTTACTTTGAAATGATCTAGCCATTAAATGAATACCTATTAACTCAACTTAGTGTAAATTTAAGGTTTTAGGTTTCCTAAAAATCTTGGAAATTATCTTCCTGCCCATGTATTGTAAAACACAATTGCTGCTGAAATACAGTATGTCATCATAATGGCTTTACTTGGTTAAACTAAACACGAATTTACATTTTTCATAATTATAAATATTAACAATCTTAAACATTAGTAATACTAGCTTAATCAATCAATAAACCTATATAAGTCTGCACAGAACTTATGCATTCTCACATAGAATAAAAATCTATCTATATATTATGCTTAACCCTAATAAATCAGAGAAGATGTAGTCATTTTTATTAAACCCAAAATATTAAACTAGTCTTGTTTGCCAAAACTTTCTCTAAATTATGTAAACTTGAATTCCCAAAACATATCCGAGTTGGTTTTTGTAAAGATAATTTTTAAGTCCAGCACGTTGAAAGTATACGAGATTCAATTTCCTTAACTTCTGGGAATTTTAGGAATATTCCGTTTATACAAGTGCTAACAGACATTAAGCCATCCTTTAAGAAGTCTTATAATCTAATTTAGTAAAACCATCTTGAGGTAGAGAAATATCACACAAATGAGAGGTAAAAGCCTTTCTAAATTACAGACACATGATCATGTGGGCACAGAGACACCTAAGAGCTTCAATTCTAAAATTTCAGCCATGAGTCAAGCGTAAACACATAATTATAAAACTCACTGATCCATATCAAAAAGCTGTTCTCTTCACAGTGGGTATGAATTTCCAATTTATCTGTGCTCCACATGGACAGGCAGACAAACAAAAAACGACTAACAAACCCGATTATCTGTTGTCTCTCACCCGAGAGAAAGGTCTCTAGAAACCATTCATTCACTTACAGAGATCACCGAATGGTCAGACCACGAAACACAAGGAAACCAGAATCAGAAATCGAGTGACTACTCGGAAGGAATCAAAGTCAAATCTGCACCAGGCTGCCAGTGGACCAGCGTGCAGGGAACAGCACGAGGAGCCAGACACGTCTGGGGACACCAGTCAGGGACGGAGCCCAAAGGTCTCCAAGAAGCCGCTTGGCCTGGGCACGTGAAATGTGGAGTTGAAAGCAAGGTGCAAGTCTATTCAAGTTATGGCAACAAAAAGGCACTTTATGTCACCAAAAAGGCATTTTATGTCTTTCCCAAAGCTACGAATTACAGCTTGATAC